TTAAACTTCTTAACATTCTCTAACAAAGCTACAGTTATTTCTCATATATCTTGTTTTCTTTATCATATAGACTATGCAATAGAAGTTAGAAAGACTATACTTTTTGAATATACTAGAGCTATGTATCTAAAGATGAAGAGATTTTGTAATACCCAGTGGTGACACACTATTGAGAAGTGGGCATATTTGTACTGTTGGTAGAGGTATAAATTGATGTAACCACCATTCTGAAAGACGGTTTTGCAATACCTATCAAAATGAATGTAGATATTCTTCTTCCCAGTAATTTATTTATTGGAATTTATCCCTTCATGGACTATTCTTCCACAAGCATAAAGATGGGTGAGAAAGGAAGGTTTTTCAGCAGTGTATATAATAGTAAAAAAAAAAAAGAACAGTCTTAGTGCTTATCAGTAGGGAGGGCCTAGCTAAACTATACTTGTGTAACTACATACCAGATAACTATTAAAAAGAAAAAAGATAAATGTACATATTGGTATGGAAAGTTGTTAAAATATATGGTTTTGGGGTTTTGTTTTGGCTAGGGGGGTTGGTTTGGTTTGGTTTGGTTTGGTTTGGTTTGGTTTGGTTTGGTTTTGAGACAGAGTCTCACTTTGTAGTGCAGAGTGGCCTTGAACTCACAGTTATACTCCTGCCTCAGCCTCCCATGTGCTGGCCTTATAGGCATGTGCCACCATACCCAGCTAATAAGTGTGTTTTGGAGGCAAATTTTAGGTAGCGTTTACATACTTAGACATGAATAAAAGCTTTCTAGAAAGATCTCAGATAGTGACTGCATCTGGCGAGTTGCTCTAATGACTAGGGTAAGTAGGGACAAATTTTCATTTTAATTCTTCACTTTTCCTTAATTATTTACTCTGAACATTTTTTGATTTTACTATTTTTTTAAAAGTTTAAAGAAAAATACCTCGACCGAAATCTTGTCTTTTTTTATATTCATCTATGAATTCAGATGTTAAAAGATTTTTTCTTTTTTATTGTAATTTTAATTGTTCATTTTGTAGTAATACAGTATATAGTAATACTATACGGTAATACAGTATAGTAATACGTATATACAATATATATGGATCAAATCAGGATAATTAGCATAGCGGAGTGACTATAGTTCACAGTAACCTATTATGTATTTTATCAATAACAATAAGAGGATCTCAAAGGCCCCAAACAGAAAGTAATGATACAGAGGTGGGAATGCTAATTAATTACTTAGATGTTGAGTTTTCTCACAGCTATTATTGCCAGCTTAATCAGGCACAGTGGGGCAAAACTCATCATCTTGAGAAGTAAACTACAGGACCCATGCTGCCATTTTCTATAAGAGCAAACTAACTTAATGTTACCTCCCTCACCCTCTTGAAAAGGTCCCAGGACTATGACCACTACCCCAAACCTAGAAGCAGGAAACTGTTTTTAATAAAGAGGCATGGCCCCTGAGGAATTGCTGGCTGTTGAATAATTTGAAGGGCCACATTAAGAGTAAAACCGCAAGATATGACTATCAGATTTTTTTTTTATTTCTCCATATTTTTTAACTTGACTCACTACTTTCATGACGTTAGCCAACTCTCTTTAACAGGCTCTTCCAGTATAGAACCTAAAAGTGGACTGTGTGACAGTGTCCTTGTGAGGTGTAGATGGTATCCTCAGTACCTACTTGTTTTGTTGGTTTTTTTGTTGGGTTTTTTTAAAAGAAAAACAACTAGTCCTCTGATCTTCTCTTTTCTACAATTGCCCTAGATTTCTGACAGTATAATATTTCTTTCCTTTATATCCCTATAATTGTTAGTGATTTGACTTAATCCTACAGTATCCTGAATTAGAAATAGAGAAATGGAGTATCCCTTCAGAACTGCCCTCTTGGGTGTTTTTTAACAGGTAAAAGAAGAAAGTGTTTGTAATTTGGGACTCACAGAGAAATGATTCATTTAATTTGTACACATGTGCATGGAAGGACAGGAATTCTAACCCCAATCATTTAACTCTTAACCTTTTTCTGTCCCTGAGATACTATCTCTCTTCTTGGAAGTACAGTGGGTCCCTTCTGACAGATGCATGTTACTCCCACTCACTCTCCTACTTGGGGACCTTCAGAGATGCTCAAAGTTTATGATGAAGCTAAGGCTGTGTTTGTGCTTCCTGATACTTTGGTCAGAAATCATTTGTAGGGCCAGAGGTGTAGCTCAGTGGCACAGCACCTGCCTGGCCAGGTGTAAGGTCCTGAGTTCAATTCCCAGTACCAAAAGAAAACGAAAGGAAGGAAGAAATCTTTTGTAACATTACAGATGTATGTACAACCTAAGAAATTAAGTTTATGTGCAGAAATAGCTAATGTTCATTTTTTTAGTCAAATCTAAAGATCTAAGCCAGATTCTGTCTCTGAAAAAGAAGAAAATAATTTATTTTGAAAGGTATATTAGGCCAGGTATATAGCTCAGTGGCACAAGTGCCTGGCAAGCGCAAGGTTCTGAGTTTGATTCCTGGTACCAAGAAAGATGGGGAGCGGGGGAGTACATTAGCTCCTTGCAGATGGTAGGCTTATAACTCTTACTAATCTGTCACCATCACAGGCCAGTACTGACCCCTGTTTGGGAGGTGGCTGTGGTATGGTGGCCAAGGAGCAGTGCAGTGCCACTCCTTTGTCTACAAAATGAGGCCAGTGATTCCTGCTTTTTAAGACTATTGGAAGTTCAAGTGAGAAATGTAGGTTAAAATCCTCTGAAAGCCATGTATCCCTGGGCACACCTGAGAAGTCACACACTGAAAGGAAACATTGTAGTATATACAAGAACTGATGCTTTCGAGTCAAACTTTCTGGTAAGAAGAGGTAAATCCCTGTTTCTAGGAAGATCACATTAAGAGCAAGCTAGTCTGCAGGCATTTTTCGTACCAGCATGGCTGGATTTATAGACTGCATGCATCTCTGTGGCTTTGTTTTCTTGTGATTTGTGTCAAGGGGGGTGATGTCATGAGTGACATTAACTGCCTGAGTTACTCTGCTTTGCCAGTCTAAATATGCTTTGAAATTCCAAGTCAGTTAAATTCAGTACAGGCAATGAAACTGTAGCATATGAGAGGGAATATTACTGATAGACCCTCTATTCCATTAGAAGACATTTCAAACATCTGAAGTGAAATTACTTATTATTAAAGAAAAAGCTGGATCCTGTGACACATGCCTGTAATTCTAGCACTTTGGGCGGGTGCAACAGGAGGATCACAAAATTGAGTCCAGCTTGAGAAGCTTAGTGACTTAGGGAGACACTGTCTCAAAAGAATAAGTAAAGAATGTAGCTCAGTGCAGAGGCCCTGGGTCCAAGCCCCAGTATTGTGGAGGGGAATGACTGACATGGATTTATGTAAAGTTTGGTTTCAGTAGTAAGAAATGGAAATAGGAAAAATTATTTCAGAGTTCAAGAAGACAGTGTTACAGTCCTAATTTGAGGGTAAGAAGCCCAGAGCTTACCATCCTGGCACTGTTGCTGACCGAGATCTCAGGCAGGTTCTCCACTTTGCTGAGCATATCCCCTCCTCAGTAAATTGGAGGTGAAGTTGAGGTAATGCCCTGAAAGTATTTAGCACAGTTCTTGGCACATAGGAAGCACTCAGTAAATATTTCTAATGGCTTTTAGGCAAGAGTTACTGACTGATGTGTTTTTCACTAAGGAATCTAAAAAAGCTAGTGGTGTCTGATATTAAATTTGGAATGTAAAAGATGATTTGATTTAGTTTCATTTTTATTGTTTTAAAAGTAAAGCTGTAGATTAAGACATATAGAGCTGTCTAGTAAGGCAACATTTGTTGAATCTGTGGAACCAAAAACCAGAAATGGACAATTGTTTATAAAGTACTTAAGACAATTGTTTATAAAGTACTTAAAGATAAAAAGAACTACTGAAGCTGTAACCATGAGAGAGCCTCATTGAACAGCTAGCCAACCATTTCAACATTATCACCATCCCACCTCCTCCAAAAGCTGTTCCTAATCATTCTAGTACATGCTGATCTCTCCCCAGAACCTACCTATAAAGCTTATTGACTACATGCTGCCTCCAGAAAGTTCACTAAGGCAATCGCTTAACTCTAGGTCTCTCCTCTCTGCAGGGTAGCATGCAGGGCTCTCTGCAGCAGGCTGGGCTGGGCCCTCAGGAAGAACTTGGAGTTCAGATGAGTTCTAGTGACCCTTCCTTCAGAGGTCTTCCCTGTGACAAGGATGACTAAATGGAGTGGGTGGGAAAGGAGCCACCGAGCCAGGGCTCCCTACAGAATTTATGTGTTACAGAAATGTCTTTGAAGAACAAATGGCCAAAATCTTAACAGACGTGACAGGCAGTTTTAAATAATTCCCACACTGAGTGAAAGTGAGAAATGCAGATGAAGATGATTTGCGTGAGCCCAGATTACTAGGAAATTGATGGGAAAAGTAAAGCAATTACTACAGCATGAGGTATCTCTGTCATATTCCTCCATATAAAATCCTGAGACTTTCAGTTTAGTAAATACTTGCAGAGCTTCTGCTATAAGCACAGTAATGATGCTGATAACTAGCTCGGCATGGTGGTACAAACGTGTAATCCCAGCATTCAAGAGACTGAAGAGAGGAGAATGGCAGTGAGTTTGAGACCAGCCTCGGATACTTAGTGAGTTCAAGAACTATATAATGAAGCCCTGTCTCAAAACAAAGAAAAAAAAATGATAACTAATGTTTGAGAGAGCTTCCTAGATGTATTTCCTGGACCTCTTTCCACTGGTCAGTAGTATCAGCCCTAGAGAGAGTAGTTAAAATAGAGGCTGGGAGCGGGTGTGTCCCAGTTTGGCTCTAGAGAACAAATAGATCATAGGTAGGAAACCTGTATCTCATCCGGAACTCCTTATGGAATGGCACGTGCAAAGAGGTATTTGAGAAATGAAAGGCAAATATCTTAACAGACCTTCTTTGCAGCCCCCTGAAATAACTCTGAAGGTTTCCTCTGTTGCAGGCGTCAGAAGTTGAGAGACAACTCTCCATGCAAGTCCATGCCCTCAGAGAAGACTTTCGGGAGAAAAACTCATCAACCAACCAGCACATTATCCGGCTCGAAAGCCTTCAGGCTGAGGTGAGCCTGGCCATGTGGCAGCAGTGGGAGGTGAAGCACTTTTTTCCCTCAGAGGTACCTCACTGCATCTTTGGATAAGGAACTGTCTGAGCTGAGGAATGAAAACCTGCTATATGTAAAAGGGACTAAAATTGCCAAACAGAGACATTTCTATGAGAAACTAAACGAGGAACACTTGATAGTAGCCTGTTGATAGTAACACTGGGTAGCCTGTTGTCTGGAAAAATACAAGTACTCAGAGTTACTGCTGAAGGTCTTCAAATCATGAATGACCTATATTTTACTGAATATGTTAGTCCCTGCAAAGATTTGCTCGCCAGCCCCACATAAAAGTTGGGGAAGGGCATCTTCCTTTCTCCATTCCCCTTAGATCCACTTCAGTCTGCACTAATAGGATGTTACTATTCTCACCTATAAAATAAGACTAGTAGACATTTCTCCTTCATAGGACTTTTGTGAAGATTTAGAGGGTTAAGACACGGAGAATATTTGGTCTCGTCTCTGACATGAGCACAGAACATGGCAGCCAGAGTCTGTGGCCCTGAGTGAGCTGGGAACAGTACTATAAGTCATGTGGCGAGTGGGACAAGGCACATATCATCAGCTGAACCAGGTTGGGGCTTACACCTAGTATTTCCCTAAGGGCCCCTCATTCTCTTTGGCTAAGTCAGATTCTGAGAGACAGTTTAGGGACAGACAAAGGAGCCCCTCACTGTGGCTGAGGAATCAGCCATGTGGTCAGGCTGGAGAAGCCCCACAGCTGTTTTCCTGCTTTATAAGTCACTGGGCATGTTTTTCCTAAAGTCTGTCAATATCTTTTCTTTTCTTCTCCCTCCGCACTTCCTTCCACCCTCTTTTCCCTTGGAATTCCTACTGATATTGAGCAGCAGGTTCTTGAAGTAAGTAGATTTGTTCCGGTAGGTTCAGCATGCCCTGTCTGTGCCCATCTGTGTGCATGACTTGTTGTTCAGCTGCCTCTCCCAGGCTCTGACTCCGTCAAGTTGCCTGACTTCCTCTTTCCCATGCCTGTTCATTTTTTCTAGACCCTCATGAACAAGTCATTCCCAGGAATGTTAATTGCCAGATTTGGTCACAAGTTACAGAGTATAGAAGGTAGAGTAAGAGAGTTGACAGCCTAATACCAATTCCTCACTTCACCCTGTAACAGTACTACTTTCAAAGGCCAAGCTCTGAAATTGCTCCTTTGAACTAAGTTACTTCATGTAACTCTGAACTTCTACGTTTTTTAAAGGTTGTTTGTATATCAGAATCATGTTACCTCATTACTTCATTGAATGAAACTTGGGAAACAAAGAAGATCCATGGGAAAGGGAATTTAAAAGTCAGAGGGTATTTAAATGAAAATGAACTAGAGTGAGAATTCCCTTCACCTGGTTAACTCTGTTTCAGCATAGGGAATAGTGGGCCCATTCACAAAAGGAGCTTGCTGCTTTTGGTCTGTTACCCAGGTACACACTTGAGAGACAGGATTCCTTTGTTTGTCCAGACATCTAATCTCTCTGGCCAAAGGCCACATGCCTCATTTCCCCAGGACAGCATACTATCTGATTGATCGGTAGCCAAGGAAGATCTGTGCCCTGTGAGTGGAGCTGTAGTGCAGAGAGTGGGAACAATCAAGAAGCAGAGAGAGGTGGCTCTCAGAGGACCTAGAACAGGTCAGACATTCATTTCAAAGTCTCCCCTGGAAAAGCTCTGAAGTTGGTCCCCAGAACTTACCCAGCTAAGAACCTTAGGCATCGTTCTCCAGGCTGAGCTAGGGAGCCTGGAGAACATCTTGGCCAACCATGCAGTGGGGCAAATAATCAGCCCAGCAAGCAGCTGATAAATAGAAGGAGCTAGGGGACCTGCAGGGCCCCAGAAGTTCGCCCTCAAATCCAGTGCCATTTGGGAAGGCTTTCTGGAGTCCCTGAGCAGTGTAGTGCTCCAGGTGAAACATCATTGGCTTTGGGAGCCCTGGCTCAGAGTTTCTCCCCACAAACCTGAAAGCCTGAGACGAGGCATCTCCATTATCTGACAATGAAGAGAGCGGCAGACCTTCCAACAAGGAAGTGCATATATCTTGAGAGTGACTAAGTAGCTCATTGTGCAGAACAGCCTCTTTCACTAAAGGCGAGAATTTGCTTCTGTTCACAAGCTACTTTCTCAGGAAAAGTTGCTCTGAGTAAAGTCAGTTATTCACGTGGTCCCTGTGCCACTCCTTCCCAGGGCACAAGTTAATGCAGGTACTGCTTTGCCTTGTGTACCTTGCTAGTTCCTCCGTTAAATTGGGTCCCTGGGTCTGAGCTGTGGCCTCTGGCACCAGAAGGACCAGCTATGGGGAGAGGACAGAAGAGAGCCTGAAAGTGCAAAAACATGGAGGCGCCAGAGGAATGCATGGGCACTTTCTCATACTCACACCCGGAGAGGGAAGAGTAGCAGCAGGCTGGGTTCCAGCCCCCACCAACGTTGGGGCTGGGGTAAAGCTGAGGCCAGGCAAGGTGGGGCCTTCTCTGTCTTATCTCTGGAATTTCCAGAGCACTAACCATCCCTTCCTCTGCCTGGCAGCCCACATTCCAGCTTCCCCATAGCTGACTCCCACCCCTTCCCAGACAGCTTCCTAGAGGGGAGGGGCTTTCTCTTCAACCCAGGATTGCACAGCTCTTTTTTCTGAGATGGGAGCCCCCAAGTCCCTGGGCACAACACCCAGAGACATGTGCCTCCCTTTTGGGGCCTAGCCTTCTTCTTGCACATCAGCCCAGGTGTAACTCCATACCACCCCTGTGGCCTTTCAGATCAAGATGCTGTCGGATCGGAAACGGGAGCTGGAGCATCGTCTCAGCGCTACCTTAGAAGAAAATGACCTGCTACAAGGGACTGTGGAAGAGCTGCAGGACCGAGTGCTGATCCTAGAGAGGCAAGGCCATGACAAAGACCTACAGGTACTGGACTGTAGGACTAGGGCCAGACAGTAGGAGCACTTAGCCAGAAAGGGGAAGCCAGCTGGTGAGGTTGGTCAGGAGTGGGTGGTGTGATGGTCTCACTATGGACCTGTTAGGATTCTCCCAGGCACACACTGACTTAACTAGAGCCAGCGAAACATATCGTTCCTTGCAAGTCCCTCCCATGTGTTCTGATGCACTGGTCCCTGAAAAGTTTCACACAGTTTTTTCTGAGCTGTTAACATGGCTAGAACGCTGGGAGTGTCATTCTGGCCTCCTGGCATTTGTAAATTCTGCTAGATTTCCGAGGGAGCCTGGGGCTCTCTGTCCTCAGCTCACAGCACTCTCTGCTGCTGCTTTCTTAGGTGGAAGGGTTTAGTTGGCTGGCATAGAATAGAAACTCCCTACCAAACACAGCAAGACATATCCTGCCTTTGCCGCTTGCCAGAAAAGACACAGTCTGAGCCCTTTTTGAGCCTAATTAGTCTTTTTGCCTCCCTAAAGGAAACTGCTTCATAGTCATATATATCCTTTTTTGGGAACTGCCACCAGGCCTCAGCTGAATTTCTAAGCTTATACTCGACAAGAAACAAGCCCAGACAACGAGATAATCACTCTCAGCCTCCCCAGAAATAGGGTGTAGCATCTGCTACTAAGGTGCTTTGCTGGGAAAACTTGGGACTAGAGGCTAAGGGTGCACTGATTCCCTTTTGGGCATGGCAGGAAGTGTACTAGACTGCCACAGCGTTATTTATGCGGAGGTCATTGGCTAGGTAACACTCAGGTGCCAGGAGCGTCCCTACCTCAAGACTAGGCTACAGAGGGCACCACTAAGCTCATAGGGAAGCCTTGGGCTGTGAGGTAAAGAAACAGTGTCTTAGGCTAATACCACTTGCCACTGACACCATCGGCTAAATTGCCAACTGAGGGATGTGCCCCTCTTGGGGAAAGATAGCGGCTTTTCTCCTTCTGTGTTTTGTCATCCTCTGGCTGGAAATGTAGGGCCTCAACAAATGTTGAATAGAGGGGCTGGGGATTTAGCTCAGTGGCAAAAAGCGCCTGCCTGGCAAGCGCAAGGTCGTGAGTTCAGTTCCCGGTACTGGAGAAAAAACAACAAAAAAAAAAACCAAATGTTGAGTAGAAAATGGGGCTTGGGTGTAGCTTAGTGGTGCAGCACTTGCCTAGCATGCATGAAGAGTTTACATTGTGGTACATGACTATAATCCCAGAACTCTGAAAGGCTGAAGCAATAGGATTACTAGTTCAACCCCAGCCTGAGCAACTTAGGGACATCCAGTCTCAAAAGTTTTTGAAAAAGGCCTGGAGATGTAGCTCACTGCAAAGGTCCTGAGTTCAGTCTCCAATACTGGGGGGAAAAAAAATGAGGGAGAGGGAGAGGAAAGGAACAGGAAAAGAAGAGAGGGGAGGGGAAGGGAGGGAGGGGATACTGGTATTGACTAAAGCCTCAAGCAGTTTTCAAAATGGAGTTTTCTCGTTTCTCCAGGCTGATGATAGTAGCAGTAAACATTGTATGCCTCTCTACAGGGGGACAGAGTGCTCTCACATACTTCATAAAGGTGAAGCTTAGGCAAAATGAATCATTTATCCAAGGTCAGGTACTAGTTTCTTGGTAGAATTGAGACTAGAACTGTCCTACCTGACCGACTTTCTGCTCACTTGTCCCTAGAAGTCAGCATTTAACACCACTTATTATCACATAAAGCACTCTCCTGAGGGTTACTGAGATAGACATGGAGAGGAAAGGGGAAAGAAGTATAGAAAAATGTTCCTGCCAAAAAGAAACTGAGTCTAGCATGAATTCACAAATGAAAAGTCTGTGTTTCAGGTCCATAATTGAGTACCTGTAGATGATGGGAAATAGCCAGGACCAGTGTAGATCACAGAATACTAACTTGGACAGTGGGCTGTGTGTTTATATCTGTGAAAATCCCAGGTCATACATTACACAAGGACTACGGCAGTGTGAGGGTGTCACTCAGCTTAGCGCCTGTAGCCGTCTGGTGGTTCCCACCGTTTGGAAGACCTGTACTTATGGGCTGAATTCTCCTCTTTCTTAACTGTGATAGTTGCTTTTGTTCACACAAAACTCTCCATAAGTTGCCAATAGTTAGCCAGTGTCTTCCAGGAAGCCCTGCCCTGTCTATTGCTGAAGTGGCCTGTACTGACATAGAAGTAAAAATTCCAGCTTTCTCAGGTAGCATGGAGAAAAGTCCTAAACCAGATTTGTAAAGTACTGAGCCAGGGGCCTTGGAATGTATATAATGTGTGCATGTATGTGTGTGTACTTCCCTCCCTCCCCTCCCGTCCTGTCACCTCCTGGGGATGGAATCAGGGCCTCAAGCATAGTGGGCACATGTTCTACCACTGAGCTATACCCCTAGCTCCTTGGAATGTATTTAGTCCCATAATTTTAAACTCTCCAGCAAGGGGTTGTGGGTAGGTGGAGCACATAAAGCAACAAGCCTGCTGCCACTGGGGGAGCCCTCCTTTAATCTGTGTCGCTGTGACCTGCTGTCAAAGCAAATTTTTAAACTGCTGATCAAATGTTTGACCTTTTTTGAGGCCTCATAATAGAGATTAAAAATTACTTATCGACCATATAGTTTCTATCAAGCATTTTACTAAATTTTTAATGATCAGTAAAGGAAAGTGATATTATCCCTCTCTGGGCCACTTTGCTGCCCTGTTTCATACCCAGCTGGGCATCTTTTTTTTCTTTTTTTTTTTTGCAGAACTGGGATTTAAACCCAGAGCATTGAACACACTAGGCAAATGCTGTACTGCTGAGCTACATCCCCGGCCCTTTTTATTTTTATTTTGAAACAGTCTTGCCTCAGCCTTCCAAGTAGCTAGGATTACAGGCATGCACCACACCCAGCCAAGCGTCTTTCATGGCGAGTAGTCAGATTTCCTTAGTAGAACACACACTCACTCACTAGTAGGCAATCCAGGAAGCTGGTGACTTGGAGTCTGGTCTGCCCCAACACTAATGGTGCACCACTAAGCAAATCACAGAACATCACACATTGTCAGCCTCTCAACTGGCAGACAAGGAAAGTTTTCCCACTTTTGCTCAGTTGAATATTACAAGTTTAAACTCCATGTTCCATACAAATAGTCAAGTGTTGTCCCGCATACCTAGTGTCATCTTTGCTATACAAAGGATGATATTTCTTAGTTTATATGGTGAATGAACTCTTCCCTGTATTGGCTTTTCTGCACGTCTGTCCAGGTGGTGAATCAGGCAATGACCAGAAAGTGAGCCCCTCTTGATCTTTGTTCTCTTGCTGTTATAATTAATTAAGCACCTTTGAGTGTGCATGAATAATTGAACTAATTTTGTCTAGTACATAAGAACTTGTACTTACCAGTGAGGAATTTCTCCTGCTGAGATATATGTGGATTTCTCTAGAAAATAATTGTAAAGCATTTTGTCAGTTTAATATGCCACTTGTAATTGTGCCAAATGCTTCCTAGGAAGGTGGCCTTACCCCGTAATCCTGATTTTTTTTCCGATTTTGCTCAAAACTGGGGCTGGAGGAGCTCCCACCGGACTGCAGGTGTTGCTGACCCATGGGAGGCACTCAGAGCAGGCCTGCCAGTGCCGTTTTGTTCTCTGAGCAGCCAGGCTCCAAGCCCTTCTGAAGCACAGCTCATTTGGGCCTTTGGTACTGTTGTCAGCTGTTTCCTTGCACGCTCCTGGCACTGACAGTGAAGGTGAAGCTCCCAAGGCACCTATAGGATTAGCCAAAGCCTTTGCAGGGCAGCCTGCTCTCTCCATGAGAATTAGAGCTCTGAGTTGCTGCCAGCCACCCCACAGTCTCTGTATCTCTGCAGGAACCGTGAATGAACTTGGCAAGAGTCTGGAAAACACCAGTGCAATATCCCCTCTTTTTAATGCAATAAATATTACTCCAGAAATGCTATTTTATTAAAAACAAACAAACAGACGAAAAACCTCTGCACACACTCGGTACTGGGGATTGAATCCAGAGGTGTTCTGTCACTGAACCATATGCCTTGGCCAGTGATGGCAAACCTTTTAGAGCTTTCAGTGATACAAATAGCCTGCTGAGGCATGCATGCCATAGGTTCACCACCACTAGCCTAGCCCTTTATTTTTTGAGGCAAGCTTTTGCTCAACATGGTATACATAAAATTCAGCTATAAGTAGTAACATGTGATATAATAACACCATATTCTTTTTCTTGCTGCATAGTATCCCAGCATATGGATGTGCTGTGTGATTTTTGTTATTATGAATCATTTTGTTAGTATTTTGATTCTTTCCCATTTGTAGCTATAAAATCCTATGTGTGTCTTTCATTTTCATTTCACTTGAGGGGCAAGGGAAGTGTGCGCTTCAGAGTAGAGTTAACTACTAGAAATGGCCACGCACTTTTCCAAAATGTTTTCAGTTTTCCACTCACATGAGCAGAGATTGTCCTGTATCATCAATATTTGGTATTATCATCATTAGAATTTGTATTTATCTTAGCCATAATGGTATCTTATTTGGGAAAGGGGGTGCTAATTTCTCGTTATGGAGGATTTCACATAGACCTGCCTTATCTTGGGAACATCCATGTCCTCTTCTCTTCTGTCTCAGAATTAAAAGTATGTCTCAGAATTTTAATGTTTGTCTGTAAATTAAGTATCTTTAGGGAATACTTACTCTGTTTCATGGAATGAAATGTTGCCTGATTCTAATAAAACCAATGAAGGCCTTTAAACTAAGTTGTTAGAATTTTGTCCTTTGATAGTACTTTTTTCACTGAATTAAACCATAAACACAACAGTGAAAAGTATTATGCTATAATGTAATAAAATTTTTAAGTTCCTCTAGAAGAAAAAAATTAATATAACCAGAATATCATACCTCAAAAATTAACGGTATGTCCTTAACATCATCAAAAGCTCAGTGAGTGTTCAAGCTTTCAGTTGTCTTATATCATGGATTTTTAAAATATTTTTGATCTCTAGTCTCTACTTTTATCTTTTTTTCTTGAAATTTATTCACTGAAAACATGGAGTTGCCTGTCTTGAACTTCCCAGATCTGAGTTTTGCTGACTGTATCTCCTGATACAGTCTGACTTGTTCTTTCCCTCTGCTTTTCTGTGAATGCAGGTGTAGAAGTAAGCTCAGGCTCTGGGCACCACTGGCTGGTTTGGCTTGGATGAACCTCACTTGCATTTGTTGTCTCTCCCTGAAAGCTGCACCAGAGCCAGCTGGAGCTCCAGGAGGTGCGGCTCTCCTACCGGCAGCTGCAGGGAAAGGTGGAAGAACTCACTGAGGAAAGGAGTCTGCAGAGCTCTGCTGCCACCAGCACATCCCTCCTGTCAGAGATAGAGCAGAGCATGGAGGCCGAGGAGCTGGAGCAAGAGAGAGAGCAGGTGCTGCCGTCCCTGTCACCTGGCAGGGGAAGTGGCCTCGCGGTACCCAGGGCCCATTTCCCTCCCCAGCACTCCACTGCCGCCTAGTGGCTCTGTACCTGCCTGAGCCCCTCAGCCAGCTACTGGAGAGATACAAGGCAGACTCTGATCAAAGCTGTCCCTACCTGTCCGTGTCCTCCTCTCCTTGCCCATTGAGACCTAAACAGGGCAGCCAGAAGACAGAGTCACAGAGGGCCTCGTCCTTCTCACTCATGCCCTGTGCCTCTGAGGACCTGTTCATTGACTAGCAGCCTCATTCCATGTGCTTTGCCAGAGTTTGGAACATTCATGATCCATTCTCACCATCTCATTGGCTTTGTTTTATGCTTTTCATACTTCATTCCTCTAATAATTTCCTCACTCCAATGAAAGAAACATTCTGTAATAAAGAAGTACTCTCCATAGCAAATAAAAGGGGCTGGAGGACAGCCCTCTTGGGACCCGCCCCCATCTCTCAGGAGCTGTTCTTAGTTCCCATTCCCCAGCTTCCAGCTGTGTGTGCCTCATTCCTTTGAGCACCCACGTTCCCCTCTTGCGTGCATCCTCTCTTTCAATAAATCTTTAACATTCCAAAAAAAAAAAAAAAAAAAAGAGCTGGAGAGCAGAGAAAACAAGAATTGAGAACCTAGATAGAGGTACTGGGCCCAAAATAATCAGTATTACTTCTCAGGACAGATGATCTTAAAAAACAAAAATCTTTTCTCCTACAACTGGTGTCTTGGGTCTATTTTGGGTTCATATCCTAGACAAAGATGGCCAGGCTTTCCATAAAATCCATAATCAAGAATAATTCTTTGTAACACAGTTGAGACTGCAGCTCTGGGAAGCCTACTGCCAGGTGCGCTATCTCTGCGCACACCTTCGAGGGAGTGACAGTGCTGACTCAGCGGTGTCCACAGACTCCTCCATGGACGAATCTTCAGAAACCTCATCCGCCAAGGATGTCCCAGCTGGTAGCTTGCGCACTGCCCTCAATGAGCTCAAGAGACTGATACAGAGCATTGTGGATGGCATGGAGCCCACGGTAAGAGGCCACTTCGAGGGGGGCCTGATGCACGGGACCTGGCAAATAGGAAGTTGCAACCTAGTGGAGTGGGGGAGGTTCACCTCAGAACTGGAACCTTAGCATGTGTCTGCCAGAAGCCCTTCTGAGCCCTCAGTAGATGGGAGAACACTAAACACTGATGATGAGGCAGAGGGTCTGAGTGCCAGCAATACAGGCTCCAAGGTCACCTTCCTGCAGACACCAAGGAGCAAGCACAGTCCTTTTCTCTCTATGATTGTAAATGGACACTGGTGGCCTCACGTTCAAGGACTTTCCTTGGAAACTGAGTAGAGAAATAGGTATCTGGCCAAACACTGCAGATGGCTATTCTGTAGCCTTTTGTTCCTAGTGGAGGGATAAGCTACGAATAGGCAAACCTAAAAGACCTCAAGTTTCTGCCTAAAGAACAGAATTGGTCACAGGAAGTGGAGAGGAGACCAAGGTGAAGGGATCTTGGCATTGCAGCTGTGGCTTCTTGCGGGAGAGAAGGATGTTCCTGTGGGCAGAATGGAATTTCTTCCGGCTTCATGATTTCTCCCTGACGCTTTCCTTTCACACACCCAGCTCTCAGGCAGTAATTTCTTTCTAGGTTTCATTGTACTCCAGAGTAGTTGTCTCTTTCTCCCCGTGTTGGATGAAATGAGCTGAAGTACGGCAGTTTCTGACTGTGCTGCCTCGGTTTGGTGAACCTGCTGTAGTGCAGAGGGTGGGTCACTGTGGGAGAAGGGAGCTACCCCATGGCCGTGTTCCGTCCACGTGCCCGAAGGCTGGAACAACCACAAAATGAACTTCAGGCTATGGTTTGCAGGTTGAAATTGAGCTTGAGACTTTCGCCCCTACCCTTTCTTCCTCCCTTTGTTTCATTTCCTTTTCCTTTTCTCCCTCCATCCCTTTTTTCTGTGCCTCCTTTTGTCCTTCTCCCGCCCCCACCACTCCCTTCCCCTCCCCCATTGCCTTCCAACCCCGCCGGCGCTGTCTCTTACTCCTCCCTGCCCCTCCCCTCCCATCTCTGTCTGGCTCTTCTTTTTGCTGTCAGAGCTCCCGGAGAATTGAGGATGACTCCTTAGAAGAACAGATAAGGCAGACCAGTGAGGACTCAAGAGCCCTGAGGGAGCTCATGGAGGGAGAGAGGGGTAAACTGAGGCAAAGCCTAGAAGAGCTGCAGCAACTCCACAGCCAGGTGAGCAAGCCCATCTTCAGCCCAGTGCAGGGGATGTACCTGTGTCCCCAAGAGTCATCTCATCCAGAGTGCTCAGACAGAAAGCCTCTCCACCACTGCAGCCACCGGAACTGCCTTGTGGAAGTCACCCTGACACGCCAGGGCAGCAGGCAGGGTGCGGGTTGGGTTTGGAAACGGCAGCCAGCCCAGCGGGCATAGCGTTCTCCATGCAGGGCCGGTGAGGCGTCTGCTGTGTACCCACTGTGTGCCTGGCACTGCACGAGACCGTGAGAGGGACATGTTGTTACTTATCTCATTTGACCCTCTAACAACTTCATGGCAGGGATTTTTTGGAAGTATATATGGCTCAAAGAAGATAAAGTCCTTTGTCCATTTCTCTAAGGCAAGTGGTTGGTGGGCTGTGGCTCACTCAAGTTTTAATTTCTTCAGTTCTAGCTGGATCATGTTAAATGTTGGACTTTCCTGTCCAATATGTGTATTTTTTCTGTCCCTTACTCAGCTAGAAGAGACACTGGCTTGCCAGAGGCCAGGTCAGGTCTCACTTGGCCTGAGCAGGTGGCTCTGTCTGCTAGTGCTTTCTGTCTGGAGTTCTGGTGCAGAACTGCTGACGATGGGTGTGGTCGGGAGCCTCACCTGCTACCTCATCTGCCTCAGGGCTGGATGGATGTACATGCCATGGCCTGTACAGGTGTCAGCCTGTGCTTCCCCAAGGCTTGCTCAGTCAACCCGGCCTCACAGGACAGCTGCAGCTTTGAACTGTCCTCAGTGCAGAGTACCAGACCCTGCCATTCCTTTTTGTGTGTGTGTCTTTTTGAGACAAGGTCTCGCTGTGCAGTTCAGGACAGCCGTGAGCTCACTTTGTAGCCCAGGCTGGTCTCGAACTCACAACGATCCTCCTGCCTCAACCTCCCGAGTGCTGGAATTGCAGGCATGCGCCACCACGCCTGGCCCATTCCTTACCAAACTCCTAAGAATACAAAATCCATGCCCATCGTGACAATGAATTATCCTTCTATGTGTCTTTGTTGTTGAGTGTCCTCTGAGCTCCTCCAAAGTAGCTGCTCCCCTGGCTGGCAGCTGTGCTCTCAGTCTGGAGAGCTGAATCTTCAACCTTAGGCCCAGGGGCTCTGCTCACTTTCATTCTATCTGAAGATTGATTAGACTTGGGTCTTGATATTTACTGAAAGCTCTACCCAGGCAGCATTTCTGGTTGCAAACAATAGAAATTTGGTCCGCAAAACTTAAGCAGAAAGTGAATGGATTAGAATTAAATGTGGTAGCATACAGAATAAACAGGAAGGAAGGTAGGAAAACTTGGCTCCTGGGGGGATATAGCTCAGCGGCATAAGTGCTTGCCTGGCAAGCCTGAGGTCATGAGTTCAATTCCCGGTACCAAAAAAAGAAAAAGAAAAGAAAACTCAGCTCCCAAACAGGAAGGTGCCATGAGAAAGAAACAGCAAAAGCAGCATGCTGCCTGGTGAGTAGGCCCCACTGGCCTGTGGCTTTGCCATACTCTCTCAAGAGCTGCAATCCTAGGGCAGGGGATGGGTGTGATTGCCAAGTCTAGGTCACATACCATACCTAGCCTACGAAGGAAAGGGAATGCCTGCCCCGCTTTGGCTTCCTTAGTAGGAGCCCACGCCCTATCTCCCACCAATACTCATACAACCAGGAATGCCCCCCAAATAAGACTAGGTTCTGGATGATAAGTAACCCAAAACTGGTGAAATCAGTTTTGAGATTAAGCACCATACACAGTCAGGCTCTGGGATGCACAGATAGATGCAACATACTTCCCACCACGCCGGTGGTCATGGTGTACACAGTTACTACACTGTAGGGGAGGGGTTGAGCTGTGGTCAGTAATGGAACCCTAGAGGTGCACCTCACGGCCAAACTGTGACTCCCAGATCAGCATGAGAACCAAGGAGGCTGTGGTACCACCACTTACTGAGGCGTGGACCAAGAAAAGATGCCAGGTTTGTCATGAGAGGTAGTAACATCACTGAGGTGTATAAGTTCCATGTGGTTTTGACTTGGGGAGCCAAACGAGAATGAAAGGGAACTGGGCTGCACTACGTGCTGTTGGAGATGCAAGCCAGGTCCCTGGCTTCGGAGTCATCTAGAGTCGGGCTGTTAGTAGTGTTCCATGTAGAAGATGGCTGAGAAAAAAACATGAAACCCTGCGCCCCAGAATTGCTGCAGAGCCCTGAGGCGTTAATAGTCCCCTTCCATGTCTACCTGGGTGTGCCTTGCCACAAAAGAGGTGGCATGATGTGCTGAGTACAAAGGGCATCCAGCCTGTGGCCACAGGTCAAGGGCCGAAGCTCCCTCAGATCCCTTGCCCCAGAGCTGGAGCCGAGCACATGGCGTCCTTCCCCAGGAGAGGAGGGCCCTCCCGCAGAGCAGAACAGCAGTGGGGTCCTACCTCTCCACTCCCACAAGCACTTGAGATTCTTGGGTTCCTTTTTACCTCTTGGAGGGGAAGTCACCCAGGCCCACATCAGTGGTCTCTCCATCTGTGTTCTTTGGTCTCCCGTTAGGTGACACTGCTGAGTGTGGAGATGACTGCACTAAAAGAGGAGAGGGATCGACTTCGAGTGACATCTGAAGACAAAGAGCCAAAGGAGCAGCTTCAGAAGGCCATTAGGGACCGAGATGAGGCCATCGCAAAGTGAGTGAGCCTGGCTTATTTTTTTTTCCAAGTAAAATTGAGTGTATGCCTAATTTTAGAAATTAAATCATACAGAAGAGTGTAAAAGTAAAGGTTGATTTCTGTGCTGCCCACCGTCACTCCCCATTCCCCTCCCAGGTGGACAGTGCTGAAAGTTGGGTGTGCATTTTTGGCAGACCATTTTCCTGTGCTGCACATAGAGATGTATATGTAATATAGCTATGTCGTTTTTTTTTTTTTTAATTGGTGGGATAATGAAATAATCCCAGGAAACAGGGGCTGGGGATTTAGCTCAGCAGCACAGCGCCTGCCTGGCAAGCGCAAGATCATGAGTTCAATTCTCAGTATGAGGGGTGCAGGGGGCGGGTGGGGATCCCAGGAAACAATTACTAAATAAAATGCCATGATGGGGCCAGGGATATAGCACAGATGCACAGTGCCTGCCTGGCAAGCGTGAGGTCCTGAGTTCGATTCCCGGTACCAAAAATAAATAAATAAAAATAAAAAACGATGTGACACACATTTCAACTTCTGACACTAAAATTCTTTACACTCCAGCCTTCTTGCTCATCCTATGAACTTCCTTTCCCATTTCTTCTAGTCTATTTTTTCTCTTTCGCACACCTAGGATTAAAGATGCGTGCTCCACCATGACCAGCAGGGTTCTCTTCAATCATTGTCATCATCTCCATTTCTCAGTTTACCTTTGGGTCCCCATTTCTATCTGCTCAAAGCCTCATAGCAGGCTGTCTTGTCAATTTTTGTTCATTTTCAGTACAGTATCCTTGGTGAAGCTCACATTCCTACCTGTGCATGTCTTCCCCTTGGATGCCCGGCACATTTAGTTAATGAATACTTGAATAACAGTGTAGTAGAAGAAGGGTATGCTTTATGAATAGCAAAGGGTGAATTGCATGATAAAATTAGGGAATAAAGCAGTAAAAGTAAGGTGCTAGTTGTGGAAACACCTTGGAAATGAAGTACAGACTTGTCTTAGCAGAAAAGCTGAACAGTAAGGTCTGACCAAACTGGGCATGATGACGCAAGCCTGTAATCCCAGCACTTTGGGAGAATGAGGCAAAAGGATCTCAAATTCAAGCCCAGCGTGGGCAACTGAGTAACTAAGCAAAACCCTGGCTCAAAATTAAAAATAAAGGGATGGGGGTGTGGCTCAGTGTGAAGGCTCTGGTTTCAATCCCCGGTTCAGTAAGGGGAGGGTGTCCGTATTCTGTCATCAGTATGAAAGATGAAAGATACAGTCAAGTGTCAGGGTACACAAGAGAAAGGTAAATTGTCCAGACTGCCTTCCTTAAGAAAAGTGGAAACTAACCCAGACCTGGTGGCATAGGCCTGTAATCCCAGGACTCTAGGGAAGGCCCTGGGTTCAATTCCTAGTACCAAAAAAAAAAAGGAAGCCCCCTCTGCCACCTAGAAGAGGGAGGCTACCAAATCCGCACGGATCTGGGTAATGCATCCCCTTGCCTGCTGGCTCAGGAGGCCAGTTAATATCCAGAAGCCTGCTCAGATTGCACATTTTCCTCCCTGCAAGGAAGCCTCCACAGAACTCTGGAAGGAGGGCCCTGTTCTCTTGGATCCTGTGAAGTAGGGCTAGCTGGATGGGGAAGGTTTAGATCACAGGGCCCCTGGGTAGGGGAGCACTGAGAGTCCTTGGTGGGCACAGTCGGAAGTGGTGAGCAGGAAAGAGGGAGGGGTCCCTGCTGGACCCCCTCCCTCCGGCAGCGTTAGTCAGCACATTGCCAGAGCTCCGGGCTGCTCCTGGCACCACCTGCCGGCAGACGCCGGGAAGCTCCGGAGGCCGCAGCTGCAGTGGGAGTACTGGGGTTTGTTCTGACATTCTGGGACTCTGGGGCGGCGTCCATGGCAACCGCTGCCACGAGGATTTCCGCTGTTCGCCGCCAGCCGGTGGCGCGGGTGTGACCGAGGCAGCTGTGGCTTCTGAGCCCTGCGCCCATTGGACAGGCACTTGGGTCCTAGCCGCAGTGGGCGTGGCTGACGCTGTACTCAGCTGTCTCAGCTGCTTCTAGCAAAGGCAGTCGGTGAGGTGTTGGTATAAGCGACTAATTGCTCAGTGGACTGGAATCCAGAAAGGAAATGCTGGTCACAAGCAATGGCCTAAGCACTTTATGAGGGGACCCTCCTGCTATACCTCCCACCTACACTTCAGTTATTGCAGTGTTCTGAGGTCTGAGCAGGCGGCCTCTGCAGTGCTGTCCTTCATCTGTCCTTGCTCTGTGCACAGGGGTATTGCTGTGTGTCACCAGGACACTGTCTTACCTTTCCCGCTTGGAGTACTCAAGGGAATGGCTGACGTGCAAAGAGCTAAATGATGCACATTTGGGCAACTGGGTAACCAGTGCCACCAATTCGTCACTCCAGCTTTTTATTCCCAACCCCCTCCCAGATTAATTTCATTCCGTATTTAACAGCTACGATTTACAAATGTTAAGGTGTAGCACGCCTGTAATCCCAGAACAGAGGAGGAGGCTGAGGCAGGAGGATCATTGAGTTTGAGGTCAGCCTGGGTTACATAGAAGTTCAACGACAGCCTGAACTACCCAGTGAGACCCTGTCCACCCCCAAAAGAAACGTTGAGGAAGGTGAACAAATTAATATGTGAGATATGCAAAATACGAAATCACAAAACACAAAAAGTATGTGAGGGGAGTTAGTCATCAGTGATTTTTGTGTGTCCAAATAGAAGAAGGTTTTTTTGATTTGTTTACAGTACTGAGGATTGAATCCAGGGTTGTTTTGCCCCTGAGCTACATCCTTCTTCATTTTTTTTTTTTGTTTGTTTTTATTTTTGTTCTTGTTTGTTTGTTGTGGGCTTTTTTGTGTTTTTGAGACAGGGTCTCGCTATTCAGTTCACGCTGGCCTTGAGCTCACTTTGTAGCCCAGGCTGGCCTTGAACTCACAACAATCCTCCTGTTTCAGCCTCCCCAGCCTCCCTCCTGCTTGGCTTCCTCAGCCTCCCGAGTGTTGGGATTACAGGCGTGCGCCATCACACCCAGCTTCCTTTTTCATTTGGAGACAGGGTCTCCTTAAATGGCTCAGGCTGGCTTCTACCTTGCACCTCAGCCTCCCAAATAGCAGGAATTATAGAGAAGCACCACTGTACACCTGAGGCAGTTTTTATTTTACAAAACTGTATCTTGCTTTTGGTTTTGTTTGGTTGGGGTGTTGTGTGAGAGAGAGAGAGAGAGAGAGAGAGAGAGAGAGAAAGTATCACCATGTAATTCACACTGGTTTTGAACTCACTATATAGCTCAGATTGGCCTCAAACTTGCAGCGATCCTCCTCCTCAGCCTCCCTGAGTGCTGGGATTACAGGCATGGACCACCACACCCAGCTCTATCTTGTTTTCTGGTTCTTTTCTCTACCAAGCAATACTGAACTGTCAGTAAATACCTACATCGTGGTTCTTACTGGGCCTGTATTCCATCATATTTTTACTAATTCCTCACTTGTTGGGTACTAGGAATAGCAAAGTTGTGAAGATCACCATTGTATGGCTTTTTCCTTTTTTTTAAGCCTGGCTTTAAATTCACTATAGAGCCCAGACTGGCCTTGAACTTGCAGCAGTCCTCCTGCCTCAGCCTCCCAAACTCTCAAGCGCTGAGTTTTTGAACATATGTGTATCTTTGGCACAGTTCCCATAAGGAAGGAGTAGCTAGTCGAAAGCAGTCCTTCTACATCCCAGGAGCACAAGTCCTACCCTCTAGTTGGCACTGCCCTTGTGTGGGAAGGATGTGTAGCTTCTTTGTGCTGCATGGGGCCCTTGATCCCCTCTGGGTTCCAGGCCTCATTTGTGGTCCTCTTCTAACTGCTGTGAACCTCCGTTTCTCCATCATGGAGGTGGAGGTGACAGTCCGTGCAGGGCAGGGCGGTAGTGAACCGCGGTTCAGGGGATGTGTGTGAAAGCGTGCTGCAGCTAACCTGGTACAAGCACCATGGTTTTCAGTTGCTGTGTGTTGTGAGTTTGGGGTAAGAGCCTGTGTGTTTCCCCGTGGGCTCGAGGTTCCCCTGGCACAGGGTGGCCTCTGGCACAGGGTGTCTGCGCTCACTGTGGCTTGTCTGTTTTCAGGAAGAACGCTGTGGAGCTGGAACTCGCCAAGTGCAAGATGGACATGATGTCTCTGAACAGCCAGCTGCTGGATGCCATTCAGCAAAAACTGAACCTCTCACAGCAGCTTGAGGCTTGGCAGGTAAACAAGAACCCTGAGACCCAGAAAAGACTCCAGGAGTCTGAACCCAGAAGAGTGTAAGGAGAGCTTGCTACTAGAGGGTCCCATGTAATGAGTGAACGGAAACTGCCGTCTCCGCCTGGAGAAATCCAGACCCCATGTCCCTGGGGAAAAGCACTTTAAGTGCTCTTGAGAATGACAGTCCCCAGACTTGGAATGAGGGCCTCCTTCAACGGGTCATCTGAGCGTGATTTAACTACAAAAGCGCCTGTTAACGTGGAGGGCGGAAGCCCCCAGGTGACCGAAGGTAGCGCAGCAACCCCAGAGCGCTGTGCCCTTCCCTTTTCCACTGAGGCCTGCGGCTTCCTTTTTCCACTGAGCACTGTGCCGGGGCAGGCCCTGGGGAAAAAGAGTCAGTGTCCTTCTCGGGGCCCAGGGTAGCTCCCTGCGAGGTGGGGGCTGTGACTGGCTTTTTGTTGATGAGTTTGAGGACACAGGGTGCCAGAATGTGGGTGTAGCCATTGACGTCTCTCCCTCAGAAATCCCAGCAGGCAGGTGAGAAGCCACCTGCAGCTCCCTGGGGTGAGCCCCACCGTGGAGAGCAGGTCAGCAATGACCGTTCCCGTCAGGGCCCCGTGGGGCTGGCGCCCGGAGCCCTGGCCACCAGAGCCCTGCTCACCGGTTCCTTGGCTCCTGCCCTGCAGCCAGCTGGCCATGCCGTGCTTACCACCGCTGTTCTCTCTCTTCTCTCCTGGCTGCAGTTTGCTTCCTCAGGGCTTTTTACTATCTGGCTCCTTTGGTTTCTGATCTAGTGGCCTTTCTCAGTTCCTGTATCAACAGCTTTAGTTGTACACCCCTCCTGCCTTTGAGGTGAGATTGAGCCCTGCATACCACCCATCCTCTCCACTCTGCCATACCGTCCTGCCCTGCCACCTCCCCTTGTGGCCCACCGTGTTCTGTGTGCCAGAGCCTGGCATCATCTCTGTGCAGTGTGACCTGTCATCTAGTCCTGGCCTTCCTCTTCCTGTCACCACCATTTCCCACAAGCTCGGCAGCATGTGGCCGAGTACTGACAGGCTGACCCGGCTCTGACAGGCTCACCCTGGTTTCTTAGTGCTACCTTAGCATAAACGTTTTGCCCACAGAAATAATAGCAGGCATAGGATTAGTTAGGAGCAGCATATGTGTGTGTGTGTGTGTGTGTGTGTGTGAATTCTAAAGTATACATCTCATGAGATTACCTTGACTAATTAGTTGCTTAAAATATAAAAGTACAGTTTATAATACAGTGCCAGAAAAACATGTTGGCAAGTTTGAAAGATATGTTTCCTGAAGGACCCTTTAACATTCTCCTGTTGTACTTAACAGCATAGATTTCATTGAGCACGTCCTAAAAACAGGGCACTGTGCCCGGGATTTTATACTGGCACCTTGGAGTTGGGGCCATGTATCCAAGTCAGACCCAGGGGCAGGTGGAGAGGGGGTGGGGAAGAGGAGAGGTGCTGGGAAGGAAGCTGAGCGTGATGGAGGGTGGGACAGGAGAAGAGGAAGGCAGAGATGCAGGTCATGAGCAGGGGCAGGTAAAGCCAGAACTCACCACCTGGACCACCTGGTGACAAGACAAGAAGGTCCTTTGATTTTAGCCTGAAACCTGCAAAGGCATTTGAGTGACGCCCTTGAGTGGGAGCCTACGTGAGACAGAGGCGGTGGCAGACAAGCTGGTTAGGAAGAGGGACGCAGCCATCCCACGTTCCTGCCCTCATCTGTGAGTGGCCGCTCTGAGCCCCAGGGTTCGTCTGCCCCAGCTGCAGGAGTCGCCCACTGGAGTGCGCCCATCCCACCTGTGCCACACGCAGACACCCACTGCAGACTCCCTCCAGGGTTTGGCAAGAAGCTCGGGCACTTTACCAGCGCGTCCCAGAGTCTCTGCTTGTTGCGCTTGCCACTGCCGCCACTGTGATTACACGGGCCTGCTGAGCCAGTAGTTTTTAAACTTTCTTCATGGAGAGTTCCTTTGTCAAATGGAATCTTCCACAGAATCAGAATCAGAACCCAGAATCAGCCCACTAGAATGGAAAGAGAGTGGACCCTACTGTTCAGAAGCCCCCCTGTGAAGTAAGAGGTGCTGTTCTGAAAGACAGGCCAGGGGTACCTTTTCTAGGCACCCAACAAACAGGGTTAAGGTCCTCCCCCAGTGAAGCTAATAGACACGGGTGTGCGTCGGTGCAAGAGAGCTTCTGAAGATGCCCACGGCCTCTGCCACAGCCAGAGCCTGACAGTGGGTGGTGACAGCAGAGCCCAGGCGGCCTGTTTACTGCCTCACGGGGCTGCCTGGGCATTAGCAACTCAGGCTGGAAATAATTTGAAGGAGCAGAAAAGGGCAGAAGCCAGTCCTGAGGCCAGTCCACTATGCTGGAGAGTTGGCAAGCTGAGGTCATCTTGGGCCTGCTGGAGTGGAGGTGGCAAACCAGACCACCGGCACCCAGACGTGACCAGAAGGCGGGAAAGACAGGCAAGGCCGAGCGCTGGTGTGGGGCTGCACTGTTACCTGGACCCTTCGGGACAGACCCATCTGAGGGGTGGTGAGGGAGACGGGCCAGGAAGGAGGATTCCGGCAGAGAGAAGCCAGCCGAAGCCCTGAGGAGACCTGGGTGCCCCACAGCTCCTGTGTGCATCCTGGTGTTGCACCCGCACTGCTTTCTTGGTCAGGCAGCCCCAGCCATTCTCTCATCTCATTGCTCATCCCCATCTCTCATCCTTCTGACATCTACCACCTCCCTGCCCACCCCAGGCCAGGTGAGAGCCGCTGCTCAGCCCTGCCCACTCTCCTCTGCAGGATGACATGCACAGGGTCATTGACCGGCAGCTGATGGACACGCACCTGAAGGAACGGAGCCTGCCTGCTGCTGCCTTCTCCAGGGTGCACAGCATGGGACGGGGGGCCGAGCCCAGCACCACGGAAGGCAAACGGCTCTTCTCATTCTTCAGGAAAATTTAGGTTGGGAGGAGCCGGGCCCAGGGGACGAGTGGACACTGGAGGCGGCTGCAAAGGCAGTGTGAGCGAGGGCCTCCCCCGTGGCCTGAGCTGGGCACCGCACTGCCCACCACACTCGGGCCGTGAGTCTGGGAGCACTTGCTCCTTTTGGTCAGGTGGAGACCAAGAGGTAGACGCCTATCTTGACCTCTGAAAATTGGTCTCAACAGAGGGATAGGTGGGAACCCTGTCCCCATTGCCCAGACAAGCCTCAGCCTAGGTTTCCCCAGGATCCTGTTATTGAGCAGGCCTCAGGCCACCTCCCAGAGTAGCCCCTTGGTTGCTGATCACAGCCCACCCCTCAGGCACTGCTGCCTCCTGTTTTAGAAAACAGGACAGAAGAAATGGAGGCCTTCGACTGCATGCCTCAGGAGGCCTGAGCCCCAGGGACCTCGTCCTGCAAGACAGCAGGCCCAGGCCTAAGCCTCCATTCCTGCCCAGCCACTGGCTCAGAGTTAAGGGGAGGTACCGCCCCTCACCCAGTGCATGCACTTCTGCTGGACCCTCAGTGGGCAGGAGGCCCAGCCTGCGGCTGTGGGGCCTGAGAGCTACAGTGTCTCCAAGCTCTGCTGAGAGCATCCTGAGCCCCAGGGAGGAAGGAGGGTCCAGTCTCCTGGCTGCCACCACTCTCCTCTCCAGCCTCCCAAAGAGCATCCCTTAACCCTTACAAGGCCTGGCCCAGGGTTCTTGCTGGTCTTCTACAGGCTTTAGCCATCCGGCCCTTTCCCTTCATGGGGCCAGGCCTGGGAGGGGGCTCATTTTCCTCCCACAGCCCCCTCCCCCTTCAGATACAATTTCTTGGTCCAGCCTAGCAGGTCCAGGCCACATAATGGCCGCAGAGTGCCACCACAAAGGCAGCGCTGGCACCACATGGTGGATGGGGGAAAGCTACTGGGAGCCTCTGGATACTGCCCACCAGGCCTGCAGAGGGACAAGGCCTGCAGCCTGCTGCTTCTGCTGCTTCCACAGCAGCCACCCCACATCTCTGCTGAGGCCCCGACTCAGAGGCTCCGCGGGCCCAGCCAAGCCCGTAGCTGCTTACCACTGATTCAGCCTCCCTCATGGGGGATAAGCACAGCAGGGATGAGCGGAAAGAATGTACCTATAGATATGTACATATCACAGTGCTGTAATTTTGTATGTAGCAATCATGTAAATACATGTATGGATTTTATAATATACATATATAAATCTATAAAGGCATATTTTTAGAAAACAGCACACCACTGCTTCTTTTGAAAATAGTCTGAATAAGAATAAAATTAATTTCTACAGAGCTCCCTGCCTCTGTCATTGGGTATGTGGGGGTTGCTGCTTCCAAACACAGCAGGCCTGTCAGAGCAGCACCGGCAGCTGGTGGTGAGGTGACAATGAGGCCTGCACCTGGGAGGCCCCTCCTGCTCTGTGCCCCGCCCATCAGTTGCAGGCTCCTGCCATCCTAGCTTCACAGGCTGAAAGCAAGGCCTGGAGCTTGGCAGAAACTTTTCAACTAGGAAGAAATCGCTCCAGGCAAAAGCTTCCACTGCGTCCTTCCAGTGTGCAGAGAATAACATGGAGCCTCCCCTGGCATCTCCCCATCCCACAGTGCTCCCGGCCAGTGCATCCGTCCAGAGGGGAGACATGACCTGGGCCAACCACACAAGAAGAAAACGGCCTCTGAAGGTGTCCCAGGGCCCTAAGGGGCACCTGTGCCAAGACTTAGGGCAAAAATAAGAGCTGGATGCAACAGGTGGGAAAAAGCCAGCCCCACCTAGAGTACAGCTGGAGGGAGGAGCAAACAGACCCTGGAAGAAAATTTGGCAGCTTGAACCTTTATTTTTAGTATTTTTTAAAAAAGCATAATTAGAAACTTTCAATACAGAAATAGTCCTAGCAAACCATTTAAAAGTTGTTTGACATGAATTTCACATCAGGTCCACCAGGATGTCGGTCTACCCG